TATATATATATATATATATATATATATATATATATAAAGAGAGAGAGAGAGAGAGAGAGAGAGAGTGGGAGCGTGCATTTCACATGGGTGATGAAAGGACGGTGGTGTCTCTGAATGAGAAAAAAAAATAGCCAAAGAGAATCAAAGAAAATGGGAAATAAGAGGAATTAAGATATTAGTTTACCTCTTATTTTTTCAAACCCTATTAAGTAATAAGAAGCTTTGAAAATAATAAAAAAAACAAACAGTCTGAATTACAAAACGTCTGAACGCATCAAATATAAGTGGTAATTAAGAACTGAAAATGAAAAAACAAACAACGCCTTAGTTTTATTACTTTATATGAATTTAATTTATTCTAAGTATTATTCAGAACACTAACATATACAAGTGTAGGTGGATGTGTATGTGTGTGTGTATATATATGCTGCCTCAGGAAACGCCTTGAAAACGTCGTGACCTCGCCGTAACTCATAAGGCTTGAGCCTTGACCTTACCGCCACGCCACGCTCTCACGTCATTTAGAACCTTGTTCCTGGTTATAATAAATAAATAAGAGAAAAGAGTAAAAAGACTCAAATATCCTTGAGTTAACAAAGTCATCATTATAAGAGTTAGGGAGAGAGAACGTAGTTATACAAATACGACAACCACTGAGACCAAATCCATAATAAATCGAGTATAAGAAGTTAAGGACGTTCATCATAACTTTTGTTAAACCACAGGGACCAAATCCATAATTTACTCTAAATAATAATTAGGGGCACAACTGTAAGAAAGTAAATTCTTAGAGCTTATTGAAAGGCAACTTTAAGTCTTTATATAACGTTTCAGAGAATTAGTTTATCAACTGTCATATGTCGATATGACTTAACACCACCAAAATTAATGGCATCGATAAGGCTCGTTGAGTCGATAAAACGAGCTTATTTGTTCATATTGTAATGGTTTGGGAGCTTATTTGCCCAATGATATATGGTTGTTTCTATGCTTAGTTGGGAACTTTAAGTTCTTATATTTAATGTTGTCTCGTACATCAAAAATCGTTGCGCATTAGCGCATCCATTTTCTTGCTCGGGTCGCCAAATTACGATGAGAGTTTCGCCTTTTGAAGCAAAGAACATTTGGCTTTAGGTTAGCTTCTTAGCGACAATAACACAAGGACAAGAACACAAGTCCATTCGTGCAACCGAGATACTGAAGAACGAACATTTGCTTGAATCCCTTGCCTCACCTTATGTTCAAGGTTATCATCCTCTAATAAATATGTTTAACGTTTTCATATCATTCCCCAAATAGGGAAGTTTAGAGGAAAACAAAAAAAATTTGAGACACACCTTGATAATTATTCATCTGGATGGTATGTACATGTGCATACAAGTAATTGAAATTGTTTTTTGTATGTGTGCATACCAGATAAATTACTTACAAATTACTTATATGTACATGTACATATCATTCAGATGAACGGTTATCAGAGTGTTCCTCAATTTTTATTTTTAAATATTTTTTTTCCTTGAACCTTGTCTATATATAATAAAATGTATGTATATATTAGTATGTTGTTTTTTTTAAAACTTTTTCTCTTTTGATGAGATTTTAGAGTAGGATTATAAGAAGTAGAGAAAGAAGAAGGAATAGGGTAAAAAACAATAATCAAAGAGCTTGTGGATAGTAATGATCATGTACATCAAATACATGAATTAATGAATATATATATATATATATGGTTGGGTTCACGTGAAATCAACTTGTTTTTGTGATACCACTTTTTTACATTGAAACTTCACAGCAAAACGCCGAAAAGGTAAAAAAAGCCGAATTTTCACTGTAAAAACACTGTAAAGATTACCTTCATAACATTTGTGAAGTTTCAAGTGTAAAAAAGTGGTCTTACAAAAACAGAATGGTCTCACGTGATCCAAGTTTATATATATATATATATATATATATATATATAGACACACATTCATGCCATGGTCATAAACTCTTCTATATCAAACCTCACCCTGCAGAGATATCGATCGATCATTTGCAAGGTTCCATCCCTCTTGTGGCGGCTCTTTTTAATTCACTCGATATATAGTTTAAGAGCCAAACACTTGGTTAGCTTCCACATTCTCCATGAGCCTCATTGCGATTAGTCATATCGGCTTCGACTTTTTGGCTCAATTCGTCGGTCCCCATGTCGATGGAACACGGTTGGTGGTGGCTGGAGGCATGCTTCGGATGTTGATATCGAGTGGATACGTTCGGTATTCGATGTCGAGTTCTTTGAAGATCCGATTCATCTCCTCGATAATCGTTCCCCTTCTCTTCAATCTTTCGGTTATGTCTTGATAGTTCATTTTATGCTGCACCCAAATCGATAACTTTTGTGTGTTTAAATCTTGCATATCCATAGTTAACACAATTGGATCGGGGTACCAATGATCCTTGTTATTTTCAACAAAGCTGCAGGTGGATAACAAAATGTGTATATATATCAACGAATAATTAAATTCAGAAGTTAAATAAACGATATGGGTCGTGGTCGTCGTACTTGAGTATTCGTTGTTTGATGATCGCGATCTTATCTAACGGTGTACTGACATGGATCAAGAAGTCGATTGCATCTGCCATATCAGGACTACGATAGAAGTTGCCGATGGATCGTTGCAGAAGAACACTGTTCGGATAATAGATCTTCTGATTATCGGCTCTAAGAAAAATTGTGTTCAAAATATTCATCTCCTCCACGATCATCTGGAAATCCAAGTTAAAAAACACATAAACTTTATGCAGAATCACAAATATCATGACACTAGTGATTAAGTTATTAATGATGAATATACATGAGTATTCATTATGAATAAGTGTTCATTCATAATGAATAACCACGGCTATGGTTCTCTTTATTTATATCTTCAGTCAGTGACATATATAAGCAACTAATATTTCTAAACTTTCGTGATAAGAGTTTATTTAATACCTGAACTCCGTCAATTTCGCAACGATCACCGACATCAAAAGGGTGCATTACGAATAAGAAGATGATGGATTCGAATATGTTTTTGCAAGTATTACCGAATACAAACGTCACCACAACAATCTGAGAGCTTATAAGAACGATAACTTTTGTTGTCGCGATGTTTAGTATCACAAGGCAAATGATCAAAACGGCAATTCCAACCAACACGTTCACCATCCGATGCAGTTTGTTGACCGCAGTTTTCGTATCATTTAGCGTCAAGGCAAGTGCTTTCCGTTCTCGAAAAACATTAACCTGTAAGAATGAATATCGAGACCATACAACTTATGTATAACATCCATTTACGAAACGTAAATATCACGAAAACCAACTATTAAATCGTTATTCATTGTGCATTTTCATTATTCATGATCCCAATATTCATTTATGAATAATTATTTCATGAATTAAACTTTGAACACTTACCACCCAATTCTTCAAGGCTCTCTTGCCAACTCTTTCATCTTCAGGTGATCCTACCAACAAAGACATGGTTTTCACAGCCTCATCTTCTCTCAAAAACCTCATTAAATCATCCAAATAGATGTATCTGAAACAAAAAGAAACCCTAAACTCAAAACCCTAAACCCTTTCATACTCCGAGTTTTCTGACTCATTTTATGAATGATATTTGTTTGTTTAAAAAAAACCCTAAACTCTGAACCCTGAAAACGCGTTTGTTTCTATATCGTTAAAAATCATACTGCAATTAACTTACTTGGATCGACGCCTGGTGACGTTCATGAAAATCTTTCTTGCAGCACGTTTGGCTTCGATTTCACTTCGGATTTCTGTCCCTGTTTCATCATCGTATGTGTCATGTAACTGCTCATCCAATGTTGTCAAAGATCCATGACGAATGATTCTCATCAATCTCTTCATGTTCCATGCGGACACGTTATCAGGATTCATTCGATGCAAATGATCGATGGTTAACGCTTGATCTTTCCCTTCGTGTTTCGAACACCCCAAATGTCTGGTACTAACACCTCTCGAAGTCTGTACCCTTCCGCTCCCGATTACCCTCCCACTAGTCCTTGCTTTGAACGAAAACGTCCCAACGTCCGAACCACCTTGCACACCGTCGGGCCTCCATACCCTCCTCGACATCGTCTTCTCGACTAACTGATTGTTTTGGATCTCGACCAACGGAGGCCCAGAGAGCGTCTCGATTACGTATTGATTAAACAAAGCATCTTGAATCCTGTCGAAGAATTTGTTCACGTGAAAAGTAGATGCGAGAACTTTAACGATGAGGGTTTTGACAAGCCATAACGAGGTTGCTACAAACATACACACCAAGAACTTGTTTATGAGCTCAAGGAAGTAGATATGGCGCTCTTCAACCGTCTTGTTGAACATCGAGTTCCAAGTGATCAAAACCAAACCTAACCAGATACAATTCTGGACGATCGCACGAACCCCGTATACGAAATACAAAAGCCGTTTTCGAAGAAGGAAGTTTCGTTCGATAAAGAAAACAACGATTCGGATAACCCAACCCGAAACCAATCTTCCACATATCAAAATCAGCACCAAAACCTCCCATTGCCATATAAAAAGCCCACGAAATGTTCTTTGTTTCCATTTTGAAAACCTGAAGGTGCCAATCAATATTGTCATGATCAACACAAGACTAATCCATTGAAGAATGGTGTATGCATCAAGTTTAGTATGCTTCAAATCATCAGGATTATCTTCATCAAAAAGAAAATCTTCCTCATCGTCGTTTTCGATTCTACTGGAAACATGTCCGACCACCGTCGGTGTGTAGCCGCCGCCTGATTTTGGCATAGGGCTGGAATACATGGGAATGTCCGGTGGTGGATCCATTAATCTCGACTGTTGAGTTTTTGTTCTTGCCAAAGTTGCTCTCCGCTGAAACGATGTGCATTTCAATACCTCACCGCCGATGCCACCAAATTCATTATGATCATGGATATTGATACTGCTACCGGAATTGCTTGTTCTTCGTCTCTGACGTTGTTGAGCTTGTGACCCAACCTCGGCTTCTTCGTCGTCATCGGATGATCCTCCTTTGGCGTCTTCTAAATCATCGGTTTCCACCGACTGCTTCGAATCAGAAGTCCGATGATGGTGATGATGATGGTCACTTGCATTGATGCATTCGTTATTGATGACACCTCTAACAGGACTATCGGTTAACAAATCGTTAAACTTCTCGCTAGAATTACCATTCTTCCAAAACTCGTAGCTAAGGTTACGTAGAAGCCTCGTACGACCATCGTCTTCCTTAATAAACCTGTCGTCGCCATTGTCGATTTTCACGATGACGTCGCTGTGGCTTCCGGTGGCTGTCGGAGAGACCTTGGGAAGTTGTTCATAATCATTGGATTCTCTACCATTATCCATTGGGATTACTACTATCTTGAAAACAAAATCTGAAAGGAAATGAATCAAGATCGAATGGGTTGGAGAAATCCAGAGCAAACAGATGTATACATTTCTTATGATATGAAATATACAATCTTGCAATTGCTCTGGATTCTAACCATTCTGGAAATGGCCTTTTACACACCAAAACGATTTGGATTTTGGTTTTTAGATTGAATTAATGTTACGAGAAATAAAACCAGAAGTTCCAATTTGGAATTAAGTGGATGATTCTACACCAACGGTTGGGACATCCATGTCCGCAGGTATATATATCTCATATGGATATAAAAAGAAATTACATGCACGTGTTCTTACCCTATATATCTCATATGATACTTGTGCTTGTTTACTTCTAGTTGTGATATTCTTAACCAAATCTCTAAAAAAAGTATTTTGTAAGGGTGAGGATATATGCATCCCTTCTTATCGGTAAAGTGCATCTCTTTCTACCCCTTAGGTCAAAGTCAATTAATAATTTTTTTTCTATTAATTTTTTTTAAAATTTATGTCTTATAAAATTTTATTTTATAACTTTTTTCACCATTATTTTCTAATTTTATTTTTCTAAATTTATGTTTTATAATAAATTTTTGCCAACTAACTATTTCTAAATTAATTCAAATAACTATAAAATTATCTTAGTTTTTATAATTGTATTGTTAACGTTTTAATTAATTAATAATCTATATATGTATTTTTTTAAATAAATATTTAAAGCTAAAAAAATAAAATAATTTAATACAAAAAAGATCATCAAAATAAGTTAATTGATAAATCAACAAATAAAGTACAAAAAGTTTGAAAATATTACAACTCAATCAAGTGAAATAAATTTCGTAGTAAGATTACTAGATAACAGTTACTCGTATTTATTTATTCGGGTCATGTACGGAGTAGCCCATGCGGTTGAGCAATCATATTTGATACGAAACCAATTTGGCACGATAGAAAGCATCCGTTGATCTTCTGCCAAATATATTTTGACGTAATGATTACCGTTAACGTACCCAATTGTAAAAGCAACATGTTCATACCACGACGGAGGACTAGATCGAAGTGGAAAAAATGTCAGACTACCTATAGTTGTTAAAGAATGTAGTATCACATTGTATCTTGAAGCAATCAACAAGCCCGTTTCAAAAACATTCATCCGATGCTCATTTGGTGCAAATGAGTCCAGCCCAAAGAAGTTTAAGGAGTTATAAAACTGACGATATAGTTCAATACCATACACCTCGAGATATTCTGTCTTGTACATGTTTAACTCCTCCATTAAATCATATCGAATAGACGGCCATTCATCTTCGTGCAACCGAGACAAACGACTATCGCTTGAAATCCACAGCTTCCATCGCCTTTTATATCTTGTACTTATGTGATGTAAAGATGTAAATTATTTAAAAATTGATTAATACATTGAGATAAAAAAAATTAACTTGCATGAACTACGTTACGTACCTGCAGGATGTAAAGATGAAAAATAATTGGAAATTGATTAATGTATGGATGTGCATAATTTTTTTTGATCGAAGTATAAACTATGTCTCGCTTGTTGATTGTTCGCCAAAACATTAATCTCCACAAATGTTGACGCGTCTCGACAACTATGCCTATGAGGTTCTTGAGTTAGTGGGTCGACACGACTTTTTTTTTTGGCAACCTTACTCTTCAATAAGAGATGACCACTAGTTGTTGTATGAACAGTCGGTTCACAAATACGAGTTGTCCAAGGCGCGATTATCTCTCTTATTTTTCTTAGAAAACTGGACTTCATTGATCTCGACTGTTTTTTGAAGTTCTCAGTAAACATTTACACTTCATTATCACAACAAATATCATCATCTTCCATGGAAAATCAAGTTTCATTCAAAATCTGTCAATTGATTCAAGTGGAATAGATTGGCTTGCATTGAAATAATATATCTGTTCATATGCACATGGTAACTCGTAACATCTACGCAATTGACATTTACAATTTTCTGAAACTAAGTCAATATCTTTTGACCGCTCAAATTCTTTGAAGATTATATCCAACACATGCAATGAAACAAAACCATGTAGCTGGTGGAAGTGTGGTTTGTTATATCGATGCTTGACGACCTTTTTGCTCTGTTGGAAGCTTGCTTTGATTGACCTCTAAGCTTATGTTTTCAAAAAAAAATTCTATATATTTTTATTATAACAATATTGTTTTTTATAAAAAAAAAAATAATACACTTTAAGATAATTTATATTTGAATTTTTAATTAAAAACGACGAGTAATTATCTGAATTTTTAGAGATTGTTGAAAACTGATGAAATTATTATTTGAATATTCAAAAACTTAAATAAGAATTGATTAGTTACTTTTTTAAGTTTTAAAGTCGGAAAAAAATGATGGATTATTTTCTGAATTTTTAAAATTGCAGAAGGATTAATAATATATTCTATGAAAATATAGATAAAATGAAAAATAAGAATTTGCATATGAATTTTTTAAGTCTTTATTTGATTTTTATAAGGACAAACTATACGACTATATACATATGGTTAAAATTTGTAAAATTATAAAAATAAATGATATATTATTTTTTATAAATAACAATACTTATTGTCTTTCCAATTTATTGATTTTAAATTTGATTGGTATATAATACAAATAAAAATTATAATTACTATA